GAAGAAAAAAGAACTAAATTAACATTTTATTTCATAAATATAAATCATTCTTTTCAGCTTTAAAATAATAAAGATAATAAATATCATTACCAAGTCGTCCGATAAATGGAGCTTTAGTTAAATTTTTTTCCAATTGATTTATTAATTCGTTTGTTGATTTATCTGAATTAGGTTTTACTTCACGATATTGCTTAATAATCTATTGAAAATCAAAATAAGAATTCAGCTTTTAAAAATTTCGACGATTATACTTCTTTTTTAAGTTTATCAAATGTAATTGTTTCACCATATGAATTTCGAACAATTGTTTCTATTCGTTCAGTCCAATTAAAAGTTTTTGTTGACGACCAAACTTAAAAAATTTAACAAAAATTAAAAAAAAATTAATAAAAATTTCTTCTTACTATCTGTATAATGACTGTTCATTTTAATCCAATAGTTATTCGATCGATCGATTAGATACACAAATGAATCACGTGGACATACATTCTTTAGAGTCAAAAAGAACTTTAATAAGAGGTCAGACTAGTCTTATGTCTATTTAAATAATAATATTGTTCATCTAGTTTCCGAAACATGTCGTGGAAATATGTATAATTAGTAACCGGAAGAAATATTTAGTAAATAACTAACATTCGAAAATAGGCTAATTATTCAATGTTCATGTTCAGGTCAAACTTTCCATTATAATATAGTAAAAATTTATTGTTTATGATAGAAAAATGACGTTATTATGATCAACAGATTTATTTCGTACTCCTATGAACTTTTAAGATAAAAATGTCATAATGATATTTATTATTTATGCATAAATTAGATGCAACAGATCACAAGTAGGCATGGGCGATACCACATCGGAATCGGCAAGTCTGATTCCGATCCCGATGCTTACAAAATTTTGGTATCAGTGCCGTTTCTGTTTATATTGTTCTAAAAACAAAATCTTAAATTAATTGTTCCGGATTTGAATGATTTCAAAGCATTACAAAAATAATTAAATATTATTCATGTAAACGAAAAGAATGAGTAGAATTCATATCATAGAAAAATCAGAGAATTTTAACATAGATGATTCCCCGAGTCCAAAAAAATCTGATTTTGCACATGCCCAATCACAAGTATTAAGAGCTTAAGTCATACATGTATTTATTCTGTTCTTTGTTATTAATTAGATTGTACTTAGAATCATATTTTGAGAATATTTTGATGTTTTTTTTTCAATTATTTTATTTATATATAAAGCTTATATAGACATACATTTTTTTTTCTTTGAACAAATACATATATTTTTAATAAATGATGATATATGTACAAGAATAAAATTACACAAAACAATGAATCTTAGATTTATGCGGATATATATATATATATGTGTAAAACAGATAAAAATCTGACATTATACAAAAGTTAATTTCAAATTTTTATTTATTGTTGAATTGTATATTGTTGTTGAGTTCCTTGTGGTGTCTATATGAAAATAAATAATTTTAATTGAATAAAAATAAAAAAAGTTAACTTACTGTCATAGTAACAATATTTGATGATAAATTTTGAGGTAATTGAATAATTTGACCATCTGGAAAAAAAAAACAAAAGAATCATAATATAAAATTTGATTTCGACTTAATGAACATACTCGGCAATTGAATAGTATTTCCCATACCACCTGATGTTGGTAATGTAACAATATATTGTACTTCACTAACTGATTCTTTTTTCTTATGTGTTTTAGTTGCTTCTTCACGTGGTACAATATCAATAAGAAAATCAAAAAGTTCATTTTTTGCAATTGCAGCTGCAACATCATTACGCTAGAAAAACGACAAAAATTTTCAAATAAAAATAAACAAAATATTTCGAATATATAATACTTGTAATGTACGTCGACGAGATTCTTCTGTTTGTAACCATGAGTGAATTGTTAATTCTTGAATAAATAATTCAGCTGCTTTAGCAAATAATATTGGTACTTCCGCACTTATCATTTTAACATCATCATCTAATTTCATAATTTTTTTAATACGAGCTAATGGTAAATCACTTGTACGAAATTCCACCTAGAAACGAAATATTTAAATTGAAAAATAAAGACATTAATTCGTTTATTTACGATATTAATATCATCGATCTCATGTTTTATTTCAGTCCAATATTTATCAAGTAATTCTTTTCCAGCAGATGGTTCAATATTTTCAGCTTCAGCTTTAGTAGAATCCATGTAATAAGTTTTCAAATAGTATTTATGTAGTCTAAAATAAATAAAGGTAGGAATAATTCGTAATAAATAAATATCATTTTTAATATATTAAAAAAGTGCAAGTGTATAAAATATATTGTATTCTTTCTTTCTCTTTATTGTTAGTGGACATCGTCGTAGAGGAATAGCGAAATACAAGATATATACTGACATCTATATATATATTAAATTTCATCGGAATTTTCCCAAAATGAACTTAGAAATTCAATTAAATATTTTCTAAAATATATTTTAAATAAAATTATTTTTATTGGTTAAAATAATGACACATAAGACTTGAGATTTTTTATTTTATTTAACTATAAAATATTTAAAGAGGTTGTTTTTTTACGAAATCTTTCATTAGTCGAGATTTTTATTAGAACTTCAAGCGAATCTATATTTTAGCTTCATTTCAAGATTATATGAGAGTAAATCTTACTCAATATATATCGATTTTTTGAAAGATACAAAAAAAATTCGAACTCATTAAACTTTATACCTCTCTATATTTGGTAATGAATAGAATCATTTTAAACATGAATTTCGGAATTAAATATTCATCTTCCTAGACTTTAAACATCTCTGTATCATTTTAGATAAATTATATGCTCATATTTGACTATGCAATTTCAACAACACGTATTTATCTATTAACTAAATGATTCATTTGTCATGTAAGCTTTTATATTCTATACTATCAGTTTTAAGTTTTTCTTATTCTTCTAGTTAAAATATAATCAAAAGTATGATGTAATCAAAATTGTTTGCCTCTATTTATGGCAAATTCAATGAATCGAAAACGATTTTACCCGTATGTTATTTTTGTATATACTTCTTATATTAAATTTTTCTTTCAGTAATAACCGTCGATCAAAACCAGTACTTCCAATAAATGATAATTCTTTAATATCACAAGAAATATTTGATGAATGTGAAAAATTAAAACAAAAAATTCTTTCATTATCTAATGGTAAATCAGAAATATGGCTTTATCGACAAGAACTACTTGATCAATATAATCAATTAATATTATTTAATCTTGACTATGCAATTGAAAAAAA